TAACATTTTAGCTGATTCCTTCACCCAATCGGTGTAATTTTCCGAAAAAAAAATGTTTTAAGTTTTCTATACACAACAATCATCGGAAAACCGTGAATTTTTTTCCAAAATTGCACCGAATGTAAGCTTGATTTTACTTCTTTTAATTGCTCTTACTTGACTGAGTACCAGAATGTCCTTCCACAGAGAAGGTTACCTGTCAAAAAATTATATACTCTAGAGTCAAAGTTGGTAATATGAAAATAGTCGATTGATAAATAATATTTTAGTGGATTTCTTGACCCAATTGAGACATTAATAAAAACTGAAAGCCTCTCTTTTATTCTTCTGTTGACCTCATTTACATTGTTACATTGATTTACTTTAGGTTAAGTGAAAAGATCAATATCAAATATACTGATTAGCTTAATACCAAATATATATATAGTTGGTCAAATCTTTACAGTGCCCCAATTTAAGTCAGCTGAGGTTATCTAACCTAATCAATAGGATATTTTAGCAGAAAAAAATTGGACCTTTTAGCGCCAATGAATAACCCATTTTAGCGCCAGATTTTTCACCAATTTAGCAAAAAATGTAAAATTATTAATGACCATTTTAACAGCAGAAATTATTTTTTTTTTTTTTATTCGATTTGCAAGGAAAATATAAGAATTATACATGTTAAGTTCATCACCTTAGCACAATATCAAAAAGCCATATTCATGAAAATGCAACCTTTCAATACTTTGGTGACTGTGATATGATAACAGCATTGCACACATCTTTCCTTGGTTCGTTGTAACAGATAATTTCTATACAACTTTTAAAAAAAATATATTCCTGTTTTCATCAACATTAATATTTCAATGCTTAAACAAATATATTGAAACAACTTTAGATGTAAACCAACCATGCAGGCAGATATCTCTGTGTTTTTTTCTAAGGTTTCAATTTTATTTTTGCTAATTTATATTTTTAATTTATTTTTAATTTTGATAGAGAGAAAAGCCATTCAACATATTCTTTTTGGGAAATTCCCAGGTCTAATTTAAAAAAAAATGTTTAGTCTGAAAATTCACAATTAATAAAAAAAAAATGAAAAGCCTGGTACCTGTTCACAATTTTATTACATTATTTTTTCTTTTATGGAAATATTATTATGACTTTGTTATTTCTAGTTATGAGAGTTCAAACCATAAAGCAATTTGTTTATTACAAATTTAGCAGCCTTAAGTAACCTTGGTCAAAATTTTATGAATTGGTCACACATATTGTACAATTTACAAGAATATTTATAGCAATATTGTTATTGTGTGTGGTATGCCTCCTGTGAAGTTTCAGTAAAATCTGACACATAAAATAATGATTTACTCTCAGAGTTTTCTCTTTGATACTGACGGTTGTGACTTTATTGGTCTGTTTTTACATTGGACAGTATAGGGACATGTCTCCATAAACTATCTACCTTGATCATGTTAATAGAGGTACTTTGTCAGAAGGACAGATATATGGTCACTGAATATTATTAGTACCTAGTCCACTTGGTGCAAGTTTTTTGCTGAATTGCTATAAATTCTGAAATTTTTTCATGCAATTATAACTGGAATTTTTGAACAATTGACAAAAAATTGTAAGAATTACTATTTAAAGAAATGCATTATGCGACCAAAATTTTATATGCAAGTTTTTGTTTTTGCAATACTTTTTCTGTTGGGATTTTGGCAATAATAAACTATTGCAATAATTAAATATATATCTAAATTTATAATATGACATTCTTAGTGGTTGATGGTTTTTTTTTGTATTAATTTATTAAATATTGTCAAATTTTCAAAACCTTTTAGCCAGTATAGAGGGTGGTAAAGGGAGGGTCAGGGTGCTTGCACGGAAAAAACGTAAAATAAGACATAATGTCACTTTGTTTGAACGTGAAATTATTTTTATCATGAAATCAAGACTTTGATGTGAACCTTTTGTGACTAATTCACTGTCTTCCTGTATATATATAAAAAAAATCAAAAAAAAAAAATCACTGTACTCATTATGCCCATAATGGGTTCTCAATTGGAAATAAAAAAATTATTATTATTATTATTATAAACTCTCTTTTTTACTTGATATTCCCGATTTAGTAACTACACATTTATGATATAAATGGTTTACAGCTTTTAAAAAAGAATATAAGGATCTTCTTAACTTTTAAAATGCAAATATACCGCAGACATGAATTTAATCATTTGAAAAATACTGAGCACGCAAATTTAAGCATTTGAAAATCACGATGCACGTAAAATTAAATAATCAGAACACATTGAACTAGGCACCTGTATTGCACGACTGAATGTCACATAAAAAAGTATAAATACACGTTGAATGTCAAATAAAAAATGGTGATCACATTGCACGAAAATAACCCTTTACCACCCTCAGTATAATGGTTAAAAAAACTCTCCCATCTAAACATTGTGGTTATGTGTCAGTTTGGTGTAATTTCCTTCTGGTTTATATTTATCTTGCAAAAGACCAAAATTGCAAAGTCAAGTAAGTATCTGTTATAAATATATTCAGTTATATCTGTTTGATAAATTTATCCGAAGACAGCAAATTTGCCAGAATCAGAGAATTGAGTCATTTTCCAAAATTAAATGTTTAGTAATCTGTTGTCAACTTGACCATATTTTTGGGTGACTCAGGAGTGACAAATTGATCGCTATTGTTATATGGTGACTGAGGCTTTATCTTATCTGAACTTTTGCAGACTTTTCAAGGTCTGGACTTTTATTCTTTGGTGGATGGTAGATGCATATTTACAAAATGAAACGTTAGTTCTCAGGAAAAAAAACCAAAGTTTACTCTAAAGTTTACTCTTAAATGATTTTAAAACCCTTGGTTTCCCAACAATGTATAGATTTCAAATTTCAAATCCTATTTAATATTTATTACACAGAAAAGTGTTAAAATTTGTCATATAAGTAATATGGTGTAATTTTAACAGTATGTGTGGCTTTTGGACTTTAAGTTTGACCTGCCTGCACTAGAACAAATGTTGGAAATCAGACTATAAAGATAAATCTCTTTTCAAAATAATTATCTATTAAAGATGATCCAGTTACATAACATATATGCACCTCAGCTGCATGCAGAATATGAAGCCCTGTCCAGCAGTTATTCTCCAGTGTTTTTTTTTTATTTTGTTTTAACTACAAATCACTGGGAGATTATATTTTTATTGTTTTAACATCAAAGTGCATGTGGTGCTGCTATTAAAAATAGGTGGACCTCCTGCTTTGTGTAGTACAAACAGGTCATTAGACTTGTCTTTCAAATGTTGTATTTGTTTGTTTTTGATAAAATGCTTGCACAAATATGATTTGTGTTAATAAAGCATTTGAATAAACAAAATCAGTGATGAAAAGTTTTAAAACTGACTATCTGGTGGTGAAAAGTTTTAAAATTTGATATCTGGTGATGAAAAATTGGGCAAATAAACTTATATTTATCCTTTGAATTGAATGATGTGTAAGTTTCAAGCTGGTGAGAGATTGACAAGGTCAGGGTCTTTGATATATATTCGTAATTGATTGATCAGGGTTTTAACTGTGTTAATTGACATGCAGTATTATTGCATAATAAATTTGTACTATTGGAAAAGAACATCTGCTGTGCAGAAAGATAGATTGTTACCCATATTTAAATAAAGAGTATGCTAAATTATTATACTATTTTCATTGAAAAAAAATATGACATCCCATTGCACATAAAAAACAGTAGGTCTTAATGTTATATCTTTGTCTGAATTGGGCCTCAGTGGTCGAGTAGTCTTAAGTAGTCCAACTACTGTATCACTACCCTGTCAAAAGTGAGTTTTAAACCCCACACATGGTACAAAATGTAGGTGTTCTCCACTCCAATCTTAATTGATGGTGGTTCTTTCTGGCCACTCCTCAGCTTCCTCCACCAATAAAAACTCAGACTGCCACCAAATAGCCAAAAGTACTGAAAGTGGCGTTAACACCAATCAATCAATCAATCAATATATCTTTGTCTTTTTTAACAAAACCACTGGGATTCTGTCATTCCAGTGGGTGTTTTGCCCCCCAGGGTATCATTTTTCTTAACACTTAGGTTTTCCTCAACCCCAGGCATTTACACACCTTTTGGGAATTATTGAATTTCAAAAACACTTTGTCATTGATTTGGCCTTCCAACTGTTTCCACTGATGAGTCTTGTATATTTTTAGATGAAACAGGTGTCTGGCATATTTAATTACATGCCTGGTATCTTTGATAAGTTTTTATACCTTTAAGAAAGACTACAAAGGAATAATATAGTATTTACCTATTTGTATACCAAATGTCTCCTTCTTCCTTTCAAATGTATGTTATTTAAAGTTTTTTTTTTTGTTTTTTGTTATTTAATGTGTTTAGTTTTGATTATTTGATTTTATCTTTGTGTTAAATGTTGGTGTCCTCAGAAGTCTGTGTTTTAAAAAACATTCTTCTTAATTTTTCTATACATGTACTTGATTTTGCTGAAACTCAATGCGTTTTGTGTAATTATGAAAAGTGCCTGTAGAGTTATCTGATTTCATAAATTTGCTGTTTTACTGAAAGCTATGCTCTCTTAAGGGTAACAATATAGAAGAGTTGATTTCAATTGGATTAAATTTACAGACAGGTCTTTTCAATTAAATTGGCAGATTATATTCAAGTAATTATACTTTCAAATTATTAAATATGATTTTAAAAGAAATTAAGTTATTAATTAGAACTTTAGTGCAGGCCCATGAGTGAAAATTTCACAAGTGACCCAAATGTATACAAAATGACACCTTTAAGTTTCAAGTCAGTCTGATAATTATATATTTCAGTGGGTACTTAAATGCTCAACAGATCTGAAGGATATTGTAACATTTTTTGTTGGAAATTGAATTATATTTGAGAGCATATTAAATGATGTAATTTATGTCTATGTATGGTGTGAGGTTGAAATTTACATTTTATTTTTGTCTTTGCAGGAAAGAGAAAATATAACACTGCCAAAACCTTCCACTTTGGGACCAAGTTACTTCATACCAAATAGTTCGGTGAGTCTATACAAATTTCAATAGCGATTGATTGTTGTCTGCTTAAATCATAAGGTCCAGTGACAATTCAGTACTAGATAAGCCTTAAATTCTCTCAAAATGTGTTTATTGTTCAAGTGAATTGAAAGACCTCATTATGTTAGTATAAAGCATTGTCTCTTATCACCAGATTTGTACTAACATTAGCAACATGGCAGGTGACACATGTAGAGCAGGATATGCTTACCCTTCCGGAGCACCTGAGATCACCCCCAGTTTTTGGTGGGGTTTGTGTTGCTCAGTCTTTAGTTTTCTATGTTGTGTTTTGTGTACTGTTGTTTGTCTGTTTGTCTTTTTCTTTTTTAGCCATGGCGTTGTCAGTTTATTTTGGACTTATGAGTTTGAATGTCCCTTTGGTATCCTTCGCCTCTACTTTGCAGACTTTCTCATCAGCATACTGTATGTAAGAAAATCTAATTTTCCACAGATATTGTCAAAGTTGTTCTTTCGTTTGTTACACATTAGCAAATGTATGTTCTTTGTGGTCGGAGACAAACAAAAAAAAATGACATTATTTCAAAATGAAAACATTCTATACTGATGAGTGATTTATTAAAGATTTTGATGGCAAAACAGGTATCAACTATATAACATGTTAAATGGTGTGTTTATAAAAATAAGAAGATGTCGTATGATTTCAAATGAGACAACTGTCCACTAGAGACTAAATGACACAAAAATTAATAATTATAGGTCACTGTACGGCCTTCATCACTGAGCAAAGCTCACACCGCATAGTCAGCTATAAAAGGCCCCAAAATGACAAATGTAAAATAATTCAAACGAGAAAACTAACAGCCTAATTTAAGTACAAAAAAATGAACGAAAAACAATTATGTAACACAGCAACAAACGACAACCACTGAATTGTTTTTCTCTGCTAGTAGGTTTAAAAAATTGGTGTGATGCAAAACAAACGAAAAAACCAAACAATTTTGTCCTAATGGTATCTATTGCCTACTGTAAATCAGGTAATCTTTATGACTTTCTTGAACAGAAAAATAAAGCCAGCACAATAATTGTAGCGAATGTGGCAAATTTGAAGCTTTTCTTTATTTAATAATATACAACAACAAAGATACAAAATTATGACCATATATTGCCTTTAAATCAGCTAGAAAAGGCTTAACACATAAATAATTAGTAATTGTATTCAAGTCAACTGTTCTTAACAATTACATAATACTGTTATTGACAAAAGCACATTTTTTTATTTATGAACACTTCCTGCACTAAGGTATAGAGTTGAAATTACTGCTAAGACTTGCATAATTTGTAGACTACATGCATTAATTTTGACCAGTCACAGTTAAAAACATAATAGATTATCAATAGTTGAGGTCTGTGTTCTTTCTCATATTATTTCCTTATATGTACTGACATTACAGATCTAAAGTTCTTTTAAGATGGTAAAAACTGTCCAGTATCTAAGGACTTCAATTATAAATCTAAGTTCAATTTACCGAACTTCAAACATATTTTCAATAAAATTTTATTAGATTCAACTTGAGTTACTCTGTGAATGCTAAATTTTCAGAGGAAAATAGCAGTTTTGTGATATAAATTAAAGTTAAAAAAAGAGAAGTTTTTCTTAGAATTAAATACTTGTAAAATCTGTTAATGGTATACTATTTATGAATAATTTCACCCAAAGGCAAAGGTCTTTTAGATTCTATCTGGCCATCAACACTTAAAAATCCAGAAAGAACTATCTATGTGTGATATCAAATTGTCATATCTGGCGACTGTTTCATGAGATTTAACAGACTCAAAGTTGTAACATTTGTTTCAATCTTTATTCCCTAAAAAATATGTAAAATATATTAAAGGCAATATTATCTATGATCATATATGAAAAAATTATAAAATCATACATCCATGACCATTGGCTAGTTAGATATCAATCTTTTTTATATGTAATACACAGTTTTTGCTCATAAATATGTCATTTTTTGGCCTTAGGTTATCTTTTTGTATCTGATGACCGCTATAAAAAATATGCAAGCTTGCAGTTTGATTTCCCCCATGTCTATGGTTAATGACTTTGTCAAAAACTGTTAAGATTTAACCAGATACATATAAATTGCCCATAAAGAGTTATAATGATCAGGTTTACTTATGTATGTACATAGTTACATATGTAATGTTTCATGCATCAATTGTGGGGGTGTGGGGGTGGGAAACACTAGCTTTTAATGATATTAAGTTTCTTTTGTTAATTTGATACAATAATAATGAAATATTGTATAATGGATAATGCCATTCATTATTTTGTGATATATTTGGGACTAATTCATGAATTTATTGGTCCTGGTACAGAATTTCACATTTAACAAGATGACATTTAATATAACCTATGAGTGTCTATATTTGTGTGAGTGCATGTTCAAATGTTACAAATGTACCAGACCTTAATCAGGCTATGTTTGGTAAAATATACTATTGACAGAAGCCTCAGAAGGTAAAGGTCTAAATAATCCAAAACACCTTTTTGGAGTGGTCCGTATTAGCTGCACGACGAAATTTATGACCCGACTTTGTATCTGCACTTTTAGAGGTACCTTATTTTTGGAGTGGTCCGTATTAGCTGCAAGACGAAAATTATGACCCAACTTTGTATTTACACTTTTAGAGGTACCTTATTTTTGGAGTGGTCCATTATAGATGCAAGACGAAATTTATGACCCAACTTTGTACTGTAAATTCAGAAATTATTGCGTGCATTTATTATTGCGATTTTTGCGAAAAGGACAAAAATGCGAGATTTATTATTGCGATTGCAGGAAAATCTGCATACAGTTATTTATATCAGATATCAGAATGTGAGTTCTTATTATTGCGACACTCACTCAATCGCATTATTCGCATTAATAAAAACCTCGCAATTATTTCTGAATTTACAGTATCTACACTTTTAGAAGTACCTTATTTTTGGAGTGGTCCGTATTAGCTGCAAGACGAAATTTATGACCCAACTTTGTATTTACACTTTTAGAGGTACCTTATTTTTGGAGTGGTCCGTTATAACTGCAAGACGAAATTTATGACCCAACTTTGTATTTACACTTTTAGAGGTACCTTATTTTTGGAGTGGTCCGTTATAGCTGCAAGACGAAAATTATGACCCAACTTTGTATCTACACTTTTAGAGGTAGCCTTATTATCTGCACGACATATATCTGTGTTTTAAGTAAAATCTGTAGAAATATTGTCTTATTTTCTTATTTTTATATTTTTTTTTTTTAGTTTTATAATAGCTTCTTACATATGTGGTTGGATTTTTTGAAATACCACAGATAAGATTGAATTTTTTGCAATTCAATAAGAAACAAAAACAAATCTTTTATGAGCTTTTTCAATGAAAAATACCGTCTTTTGCATAACAAAATTTTGTGTTAATTCAGTTTTTTGCCAACATTTTACAACACATCCTCTGTATTTAAAAGACAGTGCTCAAAGCTCAGTCTATTATAATGGTGGTTGAATTTATTGTTTACAAATACTAATTGTCTTCCTTATTATGATAAGGTGACTCTGTTACAAATTTGAAAATGGTACTGTTGGTCTGTGAAATACTATTGTTTCAGATGTAAAAAAAATTGAATTGGGTTGAAATTGGAAGGTTAGTCTAGTGACCATGAACACAACATTTACCTATTTAGACATAACAGGGCAAACAACTTCTTAGGATGTTGAATTCTGTTTCACAACAAGACTTCAGCATGCTGTAAAGGGTTCTCTGGAGAAATTACCTTAATGATTAAGTCTAGCTTGTTTTGGCATTTGTGAGAACATTGCACTGGATAGATTAATTTTATACTGGTATCCTAAAGTAAAGTTCTCATACTTCAATAGACCTAATTAGGTGACTGACTCCGATAAGGATTTTGACTTCCAATGATACTTGATATATCTTGACAGAGTTTTATTTTTTATTGTGGCTATAAATGCTGCTTTTTAGGACTATCCTGTTTCTAGTTTAATAAACTTTGTAAAAAAACCAAGGTTCCACAATACCTGACATCAGAGTTAACCATAGATAATTATATCCAATTTTTCCAATGCCCTACAAGGGTTCGGTTGCTGTCCTGTTTGTCAGTTGCCAATCATAATTACCTCATAAAACGGTCCTGTCTAAGAACAATCCAAACAATTCTTTTGAATGTCAGCAGCAACCATTCTGACTAAGTACTCTCTGAATGAATGTATATTATTGCATATACAAGACATATAAACTCTCAGAATAATCACATTTGACATTTTTACCGTTTCGGAAATGAAAAACATATTGCTGATGTTAAAAATATAGATATGTAAGTGGTAGTACTAAGTATAATCACACTAATGTTATATCATGGTGACAGTCAGTTATGTAATTTCTCCAGATATATGTACTTGTACTGTTGAAGTCCGACATTTCCTTTACAACCAAAGGCAAATGAATTGTTTTGTTAATGTTTGTTTACATGAATCTAGAAAATGTCTTTCAAAATTAGCGTACGGATACATTGTTGCATAACAATAATGGTGTAAAATGATACGGTTGTTATTCACCAGCACTAGTTTCCAAATTTGTTTTGGCTCAGGACTTGTTTAATTGTCAACTTTTTATGCCTTCATACTTTATTACCTTCATAGGGAAAGTTCTTACCTCTGATGAAAATTAATTTGAATGATTTTCATTAAAACCAAGGTTATCTCTTACATTGTTTTGGTTTTATTGTCGAGCCTGCAACTTTTGTCGCAGAAAGCTCGACATAGGGAAAGTGATCCGGCGGCGGCGTTAGCTAACTTCTTAAAAGCTTTATGTTTTAGAAGCTAGAAGACCTGGATGCTTCATACTTTGTATATAGATGCCTTATGTTACAAAGTTTCCGTCTGTCATATGTTCATTGTCCTTGACCTCATTTTCATGGTTCAGTCACTCAGACTACTTGAAAAAAAAGTCAACATTTTTTGTA